TCAAATTCAGTGCGAAGAACGGAAAGTAAAAGTTTTTTACTCTCAAGGTCACCTTGAAGGCGGTTGATGGTGTTAAATTGAAATTTAAGAAATATTTTCTTGATCGTGAATTTGACATAGAATTTGATCTAAAAAAGGAGGCTAAGAGTAGTAGAGAGTATAAGAAGTAGGAATTTCCAGGAATTCCAGTACGAGGTTAACTTTTACCACAGCGATTCAATTCCTTTTTATCAAGCTAACCAAAGTAATTACAGTATAGCTTGCCGCGAAATATACTACACAAGTTCTAATCACGGTAGAAATGGGACATCTGCTTTCATGTCAAATTCACAATCACAATTAGAAAAAGGGGGAAAGAAATTCTACCTGTAAGATAAGACCGCCAAGAAAGGAAAAGGAAATAATCAACTTGCTTATTGGTAGTTTGGAAAATATGGAATGCCGGAATTTGGAACCGGAGCCGGAATACTCGAAATACCCGGAATTCCCGGAATGACCGAAAAATAACAAATTCGAAAAAAAACAATAAAAGTAAATAAATAAATAATAACATTGATGATTAAAAGTTAATGGTAAATTCAGAACTTAATTAATAATTTGATACGAAAATTTTCTCTGAGGGTCCCGAAAAAAAAACGCTTACCGGCACTGTTCATGGAGATGCACGTATTAGAATTACAAACAGTCTGCGTCAGGCCAGTAGTCCATACAGTCTAAGCGACGAAATATTTCTACTTTCCCTTCCCCCTGGATGGGATGCTAGTCCATCACATGGTTACTCCCCGTTTTAAATTCGCCTCCACCCATTTACACACCACTAGGATGTCTCTACAATACAATACAATACCATACANCCCACCCATCCCACCCCAGGGGAGGACATCCATCACACAGTAATCTCGTGTGTGGGAAAATTAACGTCTCCTACCCCAACCCTGCAGGAGACGGGACCTCTATTTATTCGTCCCTATCCGAGAAGACTAGAATATCTAGCCATTTCTTGATGAGTGTCATTTGTTTACTTTTCTGGTGGTTTGTATTTATTTATTTAATCCTTTTTTTCTGGTGGTTTATATTTATTTATTAATTCTTTTGACTCGATATCGCGACGAGTATTAATCGAAATTCCCTCGAAGAAAAGTCGAGTTATATTTCAATGTCGCAGCATTGGTTCGCAAAGTCAATAGAGGCGTTCCTGTAGAATTTCGGAAGGTCGCTATCAATTTGTCAGCCGTTGACATATCGACTTGTTTTCATCGAAGTGAGTGGCAAATTTGCATAACAATAGTCGCTCCACGCTTCGCTTATCAACAACTAAAATACAAAAACAGTAAATAAAGAAACACTAACAAAGCCTTAAACGCTATCAGTCTTCATTCTACAGTGAATTGGTGGCAAACAAGGCTAAAATATGCGTTTTAATGCTCAAACATGCGTTGTTGTTACGGCCATGACGAGCTTTATACGACTTTGAATTTCTTGACCCCTACCGATTTTGCGCTATTGAATAGCGCAAAGTCAGGAGGGGGTCTAATTTTTCTTCCCGTAGCATCTCTGCGGGGCAAACTTTAATGAAGGATTTTCACAAGAAAGGTGTTGAGAAGTGAGGTTCGGCACATGGCTATCTATCAACAGATTTATTAATTTGACACGTCAACATTATGAGGTAAGTACCGAGTGCGCTTTGTACATCACAAAATGTAGAAAATACATCTTCTCAACGTAAACAAAAATTACGAGAAGCCCATATTGAAGTGTGCGTCGTTTCCTCTATGTTGAGCCAACCAGGAGCACTTTTAGTAAAGAAAACTTTGAGAAAAAGTAAGAATTATAAGTACGAATTATCAGCTAGTACGAACATAGGAGTTCTCAAAGCCATTAATCGATCGATAATATAGCGCGCGATAGTTGCTGTTCTTCAGAGTAGGAAAACAGTAACTTTGACTCTTAGCAGAGCGTTCTATTTCGTGGTTCCTGCTTCTACATTCAACAGTTACCTAATTAACATGCGAAAGGGTCAATGTGGCGAAAAAAAGTTAATTTGAAATTTTTTTACCCAGTAAAAAGGTTCAGCTATTCCTAAACTGGAAAAATATATATATTTTCTAAAACTGGCCTCTTGGCTGGATTGAGGTGCACTGCATTCTGAAGTATTAAGGATAAGGCTTCCATCTCTTATTTTTGTAAACATTATTCGCCATAATTCCCAGACTAAAAATGTCACTAGCGACACTTAGTCCATGTTGTCCCCCTCTCAACGAGTTCTCCTTCATCGACGTGCTTCTGATTAAGGACCTCTGCCTCTGTATTTATTCGCCTGCGGCGATCTGCGATCCTAGCTTACCTCTTTTCTTTCTATCTTTTCGTCTTTGCTTTTGCTTCTTTATTCGCTCTTTGTGAATTAGCCTCTCCTGTTCGTCGCTTTCGTCTTCTTAAAGAAATCGACAACGCACAAATAACTCGAAGTCGAACGCAACGCAAAGTCGCTAAACACTCGGAAAGTGACTCCTCTTTATTCAGGTATTTCATACGTCAACTTAATTGGAGAAAAATGCTGCTTTTGTGCTCTTTTTAAAGAGCATGTTATAACTTTAGAGATCGCTAAATTGCTGTGGAAACTTGACTGCGAAAGAGAATCACTATTTAGATCTGGGTAGTGACCTGGAAATAATGGTAAATCTCATTACCTACCGCCGGCTTGAATACACATATCCCTTGTCGTAGCTTTCATATAATGAATCTCCGGTTTGAAACACACGCGTTTGAAACTCATGCCGGAATAGTTGGTTCTTCCGCTCCAAGAACGTGAATGGCTGGACGCGAAAACGGTGCTCACTAACTATGGCAGAAATCTACGTTACAAATTGCCAAATATGCGCGAAACACATGACAACAAGAAGGGCGTTAGAAAAGCATTACAACCAAAAG